TCCCCGCGCCCAGGGAACTCCCGGCGGTCGCCCTCGGGCCCCGGGGGCCGACAGAGGAGGGTCCCCTCGCGGAGAAGAGCAGCCCTTCGCTGGCTGCGGAGGAGTGCAGGGTGCCCCCTTCGAGGCACTGCTGCCGACCCTCGGCCGACCGCGCGCGGCGAGCGCGCCCGCCCGCGCGCGCGGGGGGGCGCCGTGCCGTGACGCTCTGCGGTCGGGCACGTTGGCTTGGCGCGCCACCTCGCTCGTGCTGGCCAAAGGGGAAGGCGAGGGCCCAGACACGTGTTCTGGTAGGGGGCCACATGTGAACCCTACCCCTACCCCCCACGATTTTTGGGGGGAGGGTGGGGTTCACTTCGCTCGGGAGCTCCCGAACAAAGTGAACCCCACCCTCCCCCTCGGAAATCGTGGGGGGTAGGGGTAGGGTTCACATGTGGCCCCCTATCTGGTCTCAGCGCGGATTTCTCAGGTCGGCGCCAGACCCCCCCTTGGCGGCGCCTCCGGCGCCGCCCCTGGCGCGCCTGCGGCCACGTCCTGTCTCCTTCCTCCTCTCGCATGGTGCCACATTTCGCTCTAACGGCATCCCCGTTTAAGCCTCTCATCGCCAGCGCAGTCACCCTCTGCCTAGCCGCCGACGCAAAAAAAATACGTATTCCGTTTGTGGTGCCTCTACGGAGTGGTTTTTGGGTGTTTTCGTGGGGCTCGGTGGGGCCAAGCCCAGAGCATGCAGGGCGCTGCTGTCGCATCGCGTGCAGCGACCTGCATTCCGCGCACAAAAGGTCACTCGTCGTGCCCAGGGTCACTTCTGCGTGTAGCCGACACGCATTCGCGTCTTACTGTCAAATTCCATAGGAACGGTGAGAAGCCTTCCCTACGGCGACTATCCTTGCATCCTTAGGCTTGTCGGTCGCGCGTTGCTCAGCGCCCTTGAAACGCCCATCTTTACTACAGATGGCGGCTGTGCTTCTCACATGGTTGCAAACGGCGCAGCCTTGAATCTGCTGACGCGTCCTTCCGGATGCATGGCCCAGCGAGCGAGCGAGCGATGAGGTATGGGTCTATGGTTAAGTCGGGCCTGTCCCTCTACAGGGGGAAATTTCAAAGATAGTCAAAACATAGTCCGGGGACTTTTTTGTTGACCCTTCTGAGCATTCGTGGTATATTTTCGGGTATAGTTTTAATTGTTCGTCCAACATCGGCCTGTAGGGGGACAGGCCCGACCTAAGTCTATGGTGTGTCGTTCTTGTCGGCCCTCCGTTGGCGGCGCGCCCCGGGGGACGGCAGAAGGGGCGGGCCTTCCCAGAGGGCTCGGAGGGCCTCTGGCCTTCTGAGAAGCTGTCTAAGCCTTCTCCGAAGCTTAGGTTGCTCCCATCGTACTTAAGGGCCAAGTCCCAGAAATAGTTTCGAGCACCCAGAGAAGTATCGAAACAGTGCCGAAGCAGTGTCGGACGAGTGTCTCCCAGGGCCCGGCAGGTGAGACCTCTCGAGTTTGGGCACTTTCTTCCTAGTGATCGAGGCTGAAGTAGGTTGGAACATCATAATCCGAAGCCACACCTTGTTTCTCAGAAAGCCCTTCGGCCTTCTGAGAATGCCTGCCCCGTTTCCGTTCACCCTCGGCGCGCCGCCAACTCCTTCCTTTTCCTGCTCGTTTCCCTCATGCGTGACTTCATGCAGCTCCTGGTCCTCGGTCCCATCCTCATCCTGGTCCTCCCCATTCCTTCGCTCTTGCTCCTCCCCCTTCTCGTCCTCCATATTCGTCGTCGTTAGTTGGATCAGCGACGAGGGCTCGAGGCGACCATTCGGCGTGTGCACAAGAGACTGGCCGCCATGCCGAGTCGTGTAGCCTCGGTACCCCGAGCGAAGTGCGATGGGCCTGCCCCTCCCAGATAAGCCCGAAGCCAGCCAGGCAGCGCCAGGATTAAGTCGGGCCTGTCCCCCCACAGGGGGATTTTCGACGAACGATGGGAAATACCCCAAACATAGTCAACAAATAGTCCAAACATAGTCTGGGGACTATTGTTTGAGTATGTTTTGGTCTTCTTAGGGTATTTTTGGGTTTTTTATTTTTCGTCGAAATCCCCCTGTAGGGGGACAGGCCCGACTTAAAGGTAAGCCCGAAGCCAGCCAGGCAGCGCCAGGACCCCGAGCAGCAATCGGACCATCAAACGGTGCAGCATCCCAAGGACGAACCAACAAAGGCAGGATTCTTGTGCTCACTGGGAGTTGGGGCCTGGGAGGGAGACGGCCGATACTCTGCGCTGCGGCTCTAAGCGTGTTGTTGGTAAGTTCGCGGGCCCGCGTGACATCCCCTTCGTATTCCTCGAACCTCCTCCCCCACATTTGTGGAGGAGGTATCAGATCGTGCACCGCACACTTCGATCGTGCATGGGCAGGTCCCTCCAGGCTCGTCCTCCTCGAGGGGGGTGCCCCGCCGAAGGGAGCAGTGGGCTTGGGTCGCAGGGGCCGCCGCGTGTCTCCTGCCACGACCACGCCCCCGCCGTCACGGCCCGACCATTCTCCACCCCACCACCCCTTTTTCACCCCAGGGGTGGCGCTCCGCCCTGCTGTGGAGCAGGTTCCCCCCTCGGCACCTGTGAAGTCCACCACCCACCAAACCACCCCAACCCAACCCGAAGGCCTCAATTTGCCCCCCATTTCCAGTTGGGGGGGGGGTCGGGGAACATGGAAAAAACACATATTGAACCCTTACCCCCCCCAACCCGAAATCCGAAATCCGAAATTCGGGTCTTCGGGTTAGGTTGGGGTGGTCTGGTGGGTAGTCAGAAGTGGCGAGTCGTCCTGCCGTGGAGGAGAGTTGCAGCACAGTTTCCGCGACGCGATATAGAGATCGGACACTGAAAAACATGCATTACCAGTGGCGGGCGGTTTTTCAATCCTTGGGGTCAGGGGCGACGTCGGGGTGGTGTGGTGTTTCTGCTTGGTGGTTCCGTTACCTGGAGAAGCAACGGAACACGTATACACCAGGGTCCCGTATGCACCAGGATCCGTTTTCTTGTGCAAATTTCAGTGCAGGGCCCGAAAACGCGTCGGCGAATAGAGTTCGGTTCTTTGGGAGGGAGGAGGGAGGAGACCGTGACACGCTAGCGGGCATGAGCCGCGACACGCTAGACGTATGGGGGATGCCAGCCCATCCTTGTGATCATGCGGTCCGAGGGGGCGTGTGCATATGTCACGGTCTCCGCCCTTCCCTTTGGGGGAGGAAGGACGGGTATCAGCCACCCGAGGGTGGCGTTCCCCCTTGTTGTCACCATCGGGGATTCGATCCGTCCCGTTGTGGAGCAGTTCCCCCCGGTCACCCTTGTGGTGGCGATTTGTCCTAATGTGGAAAAGATTCTTTCTGTCACCCCTAAGTTCGATCCGCACTACGTTCCTGCAAAAAAAAAGCTTGGAGGCGATCCCTCCTGTCACCCCTGAGGCGGCGACCCTGTTGAGAGGACGGGGGACGGGGGCGGGTTTCAGACGGGCGCCAGTCGCACCTCCCCCACGCGGTTGTCGACGTGTGTCTGATCTCTCCTGCTGAGAAGCAGTTCCCCCCCGTAACCTGTACGGTAGGCAGCAGTCGGGCTGTCGCGGAGCATGCCTGCCTGCCACCCCTTCGGTTGTGACGAAGTCTGTTTGGGAGCAGTTCCCCTGATGAGCAGGTTCTCACTGTCACCTGTAAGGTAGGTGGTGTCAACGTGGTGTGATGCCCTCCAGCACACAGCCTAGCGGCGGTCTGGGTCAGGGGCTGCGGTCTGCAGGCCGAAGGGGGCGTAAGCATGAGTTCTTGAGTCGAGCGGGATCCTGTTGTCTGCACCTCAGGATGCCTGGCGGCGATGCTGGCGGTCCTGCATTATCTCGTTGATTTGAACAGATGTGTTCGTCCTCGTGCGAACACCTGTCGTCATGTGTCGTCCTCGATCATGTGTACTTTGCGTCGTTCATGTGTCGTCCTCGTCCGAACACCTTTCCGTCAGAGAACTGCGCCGCACGGCCTACGGGAACGAGCGTGCTCGAGGCGGGCGGCCTTCTGCGGTTGTTGGGCGACCTTCTTTTGTTGGGGGGGGTGGCGCCCCCACGTCGCCCCCGCGTCGCCTGTAGACCAACATCTTCTCCGTAGCGGCTCAGGAGAGTCGAGTCGTGCAAGGATTGGGGATGAGGGAGGCGTGTGGATCGAGGAGGAGCCACAACAGCATGTTTCCAGTATTCTGTTCGGACTATTTCTCATTTTTCGTCGAAGATCCGTCTGTATGAGGACACGCCCGACCTGACGCCAGCTCCCCCGTCTTTCACCCCTCCCCCGATTTCCACGCGCGCGGGGTGGTGGTGGTCCCTCAGGCGGCCGGGTTTGCGTTCTGCTCCTCCGCGGTGCTCGAGGAGGTCCCGTACGACCCCGGGCTCGAGGAAGCGCCCCGCGCCGCGGCCCGTGGAGCAAGTCGCCACGGGAGGGCCTGCGCTGCAGGAGCGAACAGAGGCGATCGCCGTCGGGGAGGCGGGTCCCGAGGGAAGCGGGACCCGAGTCTCCTCGCCGCCTTCGGGCTCCCGGGGACCCGCTTCTCCCGTGCTGAGGCTGCAGTCGGGGCGCCGACGAAGGAACTGTTCTCGTTGGGGAGGGGCTCGGTGTTCCTTGATAGTTTTACAGTTTGCCTTGGGTGTTCCTGAGGCTTTCGATGAAAAATCGAAGCTGAACTTTGGGAAAACAGGTGCCTCGCTCCTTATGTAGGGTTCCTTAGGTCAGCGCCCCAACTGTAGGCGGGCGGCCACTCGGGGAGCCCTCGCCTCGTCCTGTCGCGCGGGGCAGGCGGCCCACACCGCAGCCGCTGGCGCTCCAGGGTGCCATATTCGGGCGACGCCGGGCTCAGTTTGGGCGAAGGCCAGTGGGAGCCAGGGGGGCTCCACCTGGTGGGCCTCCAGCTGGACTTGGCCTCCTCGTGGGCGGCACCAAGTCCAGCCAGAGCACGTCCAGTTGGAGCCGAGGCTCTCTGCTGGGGCTCCAGCTGAGCTTTGCCTCTCCCGAAATGCGAGGCCTGGCAGTTCCAGCCGATGTTTCAAAGAAGCGGGTGGTTTCTCGGAAGCCCTCCTGCCTTCTCGGGGTCCGTCTCAGAAACCCCAGACAGGGCTCGAACTAAACGGTGTTTGGGCGATTTAGTGGAGCGTTTTCGTTTTGATTCCGTTTCTTGTAAAGGCAGAACGAAGACAGAACGAAGCGCATCGAAAACACATTAAAAAACGATGATGACGTCATCTCGAGCCCTGCCCCCAAAACAAAAACGATGAAGACGTTTCTGTTCGAGCCCTGCCCCCATATCCTTGCTCGGAAGGCAGGGGGCTGTTTGGGCAGTCTTCTGAGAAGCTCACGATCCCTTGCAACAAGCCCCCTGCCGTCTGAGAAGCCCCCCCGCACCCCCTCGCCGCACCCCCGTTGGCGCACTTCCAAACCTTGGGCCCCAGGACTTCGATGGATGTCTCCATCTCGCGAAGCCCGCAAAAGATGCGGTCGGGAGTTCGGTCGTGGCGGCTAGCGTCGTCTTGTGGTTCCACGACTCGGATGTCGGGCAACGGAATTGGCACCACGGCCAAGTTTCATGGGGCCAGTTTGGGCCCGATTTGCCCCGCTCCCGCGGAGCCTCCTCGGGACCAGGAGCCTGGGCACTCCTAGGAATGAGTTGGCAATTTCTGGCAATGCATCGAGTGCCTCAAGAGCTCTCGCTCCTGAACGGTTCCTCCTCTCGGAAGGTGTGCCGATCGATTCAAAGTCGATCCAAATCGGTTACGTGATTTGGGCACCGCTGCATCGTTGCGGATTGCAGCGATGGCAGTTTTGTTTTCTTTCTGTTGGCGATGTCTTTTGTATTGGATTGGGGGGCAGCTGCGTGGCCTGGCGACCCCTTGCCAGGCCAGACCCTCCTTCCCGGCTTCCTCTGAGCCTGTTGCAGGGTGACTTCGAACACGTCCCGGTACTCCCATGATGCTCGCAGGCGAAAAAAGTTGTCTCTATTATGCAAGGGATTCCATCCTATGCGTTCGGGGGTCCCGGTATAGCTGGACGGCTTTGGCGTTTTCATCATTTGATCGCTCATCGATGCATTGCCCGCTTTTGGCAGGTCCTTAGCAGACTGCCACTCGTCGCACTGCCACTCGTGCCGGTGACCAGCAGCCGGTGCAGGCGCCTCGCCCGAGGCTTCCTCGCCTTGTATGGTGCTGGGGCTTGGGAGCCCCACACATTGCACTGATATCAAGTCGGGCGTGTCCTCCTAAAGGCGGATTTTGGACGAAGAATTGAAAATAGGCAAACAAATACCCAAACATAGTAAAGCATCAGTAAAAAAATCCCCCAGACTATTACTGGACTATTTTTTAATATTCCTGTAGTGGGACAGGCCCGACTTGACACTATTGGAGGGCGGGCCGTTTTCAAAATGCGGCTCTCGCTTCGTCGTTGCGCACATTCGCCTTACATCAGAGGAGCATGAACTATTGATATTGATAATTGTCAAGGTTTTCAGGTTTTCGTGTTCTTCCGCGCGGGCTCCAGGGACGAACGGTCGAGCGCATTCCGTCGCGCAGGTTCTTTGCGTGATGTGAGCGGTACATCTTTCGCGCACCGGAGCGCCTTCGGAGATACCAAGCTGCATTATGTTTTGCTCTTGGGGAGTCCGCGAGTCGCAGCTGCTGTGGCGCGATTTTCGTGGTAACCCTTTCGAGTGTTGTTCGCGGGCGCAGGGCGCGGCGCGCGCTGGACCCAATCTCGCGCGGCGCGGTGCGTGAATCAGCCGGCCGCGCCCGTCGGACCAAACGCTTCCGTTTTTGTTGCGCAAGCGGTTCTTCATGTTTTTAACCATGAGCCCGGACATTTTCAAACAACAATGTTTCGAGGTGTGGAATACGCCCGCCGCGCAGGACATCTGAAGAATTCTGACATCCAGAATTTTGCAAAATGGATCCTAGAATTTTTCTAAATCGACCCCAGAATGTGTCAAAACCGATTCTGGGATGTTTTACCAATTAGGTCGGACATGTTCAAAAAACGTTCCCAGATTTTTTAAATTCGCCCCTGGAGAATTTTCCAGAGTCGCGGGTGATTTGCCCTTACAGGTGTTTTTTTGGGGGGAAATTTGCCGAGGCGTGCGGCGCGGGGCGGTGCGCCACCGTGCCCCCCGCGTTCGGCAACGAAAAGGAGCATCAGCAAATGCCACGTAGCCCCCATACGGGCGACCATTCGACTGCGAATGGGTGACCGACCGGCGGCGCCAAGCAACGTAGACAATATTCGACGCAAAGTGTACCTCCCGCGAAGGGTGTTATTAGAAATTTCGGACCCCCCAGAACGTATCAATAGCACGCTGTGTCAATCTATTCTTCTTGTCCGAGTAAACCTCCCCAGCAGTCGCAAAGATGGGGCGGATCGTTTTCGGAATGTGGCTCTGGCCGTCTCGTCTTCTCGCCGTGCACGTTCTCCTGCAAATGCGCCAGCAGTCTCAAGGATGGAGGGCGGAACGTTTTCAATATGCGGATCTCGCCTTCTCGCCGCGCATCTTTGCAATAACAGCTCCCAGGCAGTCACAAAAAGGGGGGGCGGTTCATTCACAAATGTTCGCGAGTTTGGCCCCAAACTGGAAGTTTTGGCACTGGTGTTGGGAGCTTAATGGTGGAAGTTACGTGGTGGAAGCTGTGCGGTCGAAGCTATGTGGCAACGCTCCGCGTCCACAGACATGCTGGCATAAAGCTGGGTCCCACTAAATTTGACCCAACTTTCCGTATTTTTGACGCTTCGTGTCCCCCCACTTGGATGATGGAGCGCACGAGGCGGCAACGAAGCGGCAGCGGGCGGCAACGTGGCGAATGCTCGGAACACCCATCCAGAGCACGAGGTGACAACGTGGCGGCAACGAGGCGGCAACGTGGCGAATCCTCGGGACAACGGGCGGGAACGTGGCACATCTTCACCAGAACACCCAAGCCAAGCGGCAACGGGCGGCAACGAGGCGGCAGCGGGCTGGAACGTGGCGAATTTTCGCCAGACCCCGCAACCGGCAACGGGCGGAGACGTGGCGAATCCTCGCTGGACCCCCGCCAGCGGCATTGGGCGGCAACGAGGCGGCAGCGGGCGGGAGCGTGGCGAATCTTCGCCAGCATCGGGCGGCAACGAGGCGGCAACGGGCGGGAGCGTGGCGAATTCTCGCTGGAGCCCCTGAGCAGCAACGGTCAGCAACGAGGCGGCAACGAGGCCGCAACGGGCGGCAACGTGGCGAATCCTCGCTGGACCCCCCCCAGCGGCAACGGGCGGTAACCAGGCGGCAACGGGCGGCAGCTGCTGGCAACGTGGCGAATCCTCGCTGGACACATCCAATTTCTTCGGGACAGAAGTCAGAAGCCCTCAGTGCAAGCACTGTTTGGAGAAACTGGCTCTCGGTTGAAACTTACTCTCAGTTGGCGATCCGAAGTGAAGGTTGCACCACAACTACAAGACCGGAAGGCGGTTCCTTTTCCAAATGGGGCTCTCGCCGAGACTTCCTCAGCATGTATTTTTCTCAGCGTGAACCACGGTGAGACAATCATACACACCGATGGAGGGCGCTCACATGCTCAAAAGGGGACTCTCGCTGGTTTGCCCTTGGACTGTTTGGTGCTGCCGAGTCGTGGTCCTCAGCGCCCCGCCCGAGTGGGGCACTCGCAGGAGTGGCGGGCGCGTGCCGTGGTCGGCTTTCAAAAGGAAGAGGTCCCTTGCAGTGGTCAGGCATGCCTTTTGGGGGGACTGCCAGTGGATGGCCCCATGCCAAGGTCAGGTGATCGCAGACATGGATCAAGGGGGCGTGGATTAGCGACGGGCCCAGTTTCCACAGGAAATCGCGGATTTCCGCCACCGCACGAGGCGGCACCGGCCACATTTTGGGGAGAGCGCCTCCCCCGATCCATGGATTTGGCGACCGCACGCCAAATCCATGGATGGCTAATCCATGTTTGCGCGCCCCCGAAGGGTGCCCTGGGTTTCTTGGGCTTCGATGGTTTTGCCATGGAGAGCGTGACGCTCCCGCACCACAGCTCAGTGGACGTCCTGGGCCCTGGGGTCTGACCGGTGGGTTTCTTGTGGAAGGTTTCTTGCGGACAGGCCTCTGCTGTGTGAGGAGGGGAGTTGGGACGGGAGGGTGTAGTACAGCAGCGTTGATGGATGCTTCTTGAGCTTACCAATTGTTCTTGGCCTTCTCTTTCTTCTTCTCCTTATACCCCCTCTCTCTCAATCTGCCTCCTCCTGCGCCCGCCTCCCTCCTCCCTCTTCCTCCTCGCCCCCTCTCCTCCCCCATCCTCCATCGTCCTCCAGCTGCGGCTGAGCGTGTCCACGCCAGGCGTGCAGATTGTTCACGGTTCTGTCGTGTCCTTCGTCGTCTGTCGTTCGTGCCGCTGTGGGACCGCACACTCGCGGACACGCCTGCCGCTTGGCAGCCTCATTGTCACCATTCGCCATTCCGGCCAGGACGAGATTCAGAGCGCTGCAGCTCGTGCAGCACCGTCTCCTCTCCCTCGCCCACGAAGATTGGTTTCTATTGTCTCATCCGCCATCTCGTTCGCGTGCCGTCTTGGGGCCGAAGATACCTTCCCTCCTCAGGCGAATTGTTGAGTGCATTTTTGTCCCCCTGTCTCTTGCTTGGGTCAGGGACGCCTCGCCAGCGTCGCACCGGGACCGCCCATTGATACCTGCCTTGCTGCCGCCGCTGCGCACTGCTATGTCGCTCCCGAGCTGTTTTTTTGCTCACTGGACTTTATGTTTGTAGTCAGACTGGATAATCTTCTGCCAGTGGCAGCGCCATCTTCTGCTGACAGGCTTTCGGCTTCACCCGCGCCGCAGTCCAGAATCCTCCCCATCCCCCCGTCTCGGCAGCAAGAGCATATACAGTACCAGCGGCGGGCTGTGGCGGGTGTTTTTCAATCCCAGGACTGTTTGGAGGGTCGGGGACGACGTCGGGTTGGTGTGGTGTCTACTTCTTGCTTGTTCCGCTTCCCGGGGAAGCGCCCGAAAGTGTATACACCAGGATCCCGTATGCACCAGGACCTGCTCTCCTGTGCAGATCTCAGCGCAGGGCCGGAAGGGGCGTCGGTGTGCAGAGTCCGGTTCCCTGCCTCCAGGACCTCTTCTTCGGAGAGGAGCCCTGCATGGCCGCCCGGCTCTGGACGTCGGGCTGGGACTTCTTCGCGCCGACGCGGGCGCCGCGCCGCCGCCCTCGGTGGGGCTCGGAGCTCATAGAGGGAGGAGGGGCCGGGTGGTATTCCAGCCCGGGCTGCCAGGGCTTTGTTTAAAGTGGAAGCCTATGCCAAGAGACACCCTGCTTGCCTCCAGGGGGCCCTGGGTTTCTTGGGTTTCGAGGGTCCTGCTACGGAAAGCGTGACGCCCCCACATCAAGACTCACTGGACGTCCTGCTGGGGCCTCTGAGTTGGGCGTCTTGTGGAGGGCTTCTTCTCTTGTGGTCGAGCTCCTACTGTGCTGCAGATCCAGTGTCTACCATCGTTCCTCGCAGAAGCCACAGCTTTGGACGGACCGGTCCAGCTCAGAACTGTCTGCCTGTAGAGGGCTGGCCCAGTGAGACCGCAGCGACACGCAGTCGCCCAGTCGGGACATCGGCTGCGGTCTCGGTTCGTGCCGTGCGTGCGGGCGAGTTGAGGCGAAGCAGCGCGAGTTCCTCGCGCAGCCAGGGCCAGGTCACGTCAACATGAATCGGATGTCCCGACCTCCGGGGCGTCTTGTCGTTGTTTCTCCTTTGGTTGTCCCGTGGTTGTCGAATCGGCGTCCCGCAGTCGTGATTGTTCTGTGGCTGTTCTGGGGGTGTCGCGTGGTTGCCCCGTGGTTGTCACGTTGTTGTCCCGTGGCCGCCCCGTCTCTGGATAGATGCATGTTTTACGTCGCAGCGTGGCAGAGGCAGTCCGCACGCGCGCTCGAACGGCCGGGAGAGGGCAAGCGCTAATTGTCGGGTGAAGATACACAGATATATCGACAGACAGTGATACCGATAGGTAGATCGTCAAACCGATGGTTGGATCGATAGCGGGGGTCTTTGGGCAGTCAGACCGATTGGTAGTGAGACCGATGGATAGATGGATGTAAGGATCGATGATAGCCCGTGGTTGCCCCGTGGTCGACGAGCACGAGGGCAGGATGAGGAGGATGGAGTGGGTGAAAGGGAGGGCGAGTGACCTCCCAAGATCCTCCTCATCCTGCTCCTCCATCTCCTCTTCATAACACGTACCGCTCCTATACATTATTCTCACATTTGTCCCGCCTCCTACTCTTCATATCCATCACTCTCTGTTCCTCCTTGTCTTCCTCGATGGCCACGTCGATGACTTGTACATGAGTCTACCAGGAACGTAAGGAGGAGGAGTGCTGGAATGGGTGGCAGGATGGGCGAACAGGAGGAGAGGGAAGGAGGAGGAGAAGGAGGAGTGACTCCTCAACCACCGTCTCCTCCTCTTCCTAGCACACCTCCTCCTCCTCCTCCTCCACATTCCCTCATCTTCCTCAGTTCGTTTTTTGTCATCCTCCTCATCTTTCTCCTCATAGGCGAGAGGAGGCGAAGAAGGAAGAGCGATAGAAGGAGGACGGGGATCAGGAGGTAGTAGGAGGAGAGGGAGGAGGAGGGAAATGAGGAGGAGGAGAAGGAGGAGGAGGAGGAGGATGAAAAGGAGGAGGAGGACGAGGAGGAGGAGGAAGAGCATGAGGAAGAGGACGAGGAGGAGGATGAGTGGTAGAAGCTAGAGGGGGAGGAGAAGCAGTGAGACCTCAGCCTAGACCTCAGCCTTCTGCTGGAAGGTCCTTCTTCTCCTGCCCGTCCTGTTCCTTTCCTCCTCCCCCTCCTCACGATGGCGAGGACGAGCAGGCAGAGGCGGCAGAGGTACAATAGGACTAAGCACCAGAGTAGCACCTCTCATGGAGTTCATGCCGTCTCGCACCGAAACGCCTTACACCTCCACGATAGCACTGCCAGCGCCCCGAGGCTGCACTGCCCCGCTAGACGAGGAGAAACGGATGAGGAGGAGGATGAGGATGAGAAAGGGCAGGATTGGGAAGAGGTCAGAGTGGGCGGAATGACGGGCGGGAAACGCCTCCTTTGCGAAGAGGGGCGATGAAGTCTCGAGCGGCTGCGATGTTGCAGTTCCCCCTGTGGTCTTGCGACAGGGGTGCGCGGCGTTCCAGGTTTTCGGTAGTTTTGGTCCTCTGCAGGGGCCTTCGGCCTGGTGCGCCGGCTGCACAGAAGGGCGCGTAAACTCCCCAGGTCATCGGTCTTCGCACCCCATCAGGACCCAGAAGCTTCCCAGGTCGTCGGTGTTCCTGCTCGGAGGCAGCCAAGATGGCTGACGATGGCCTCCAGGATGCTCCCACCGCGCTCAATAAGATTGCCCTAGGACAGCTCAAGATGGCCGCAAGATGTCTCCAAGACGGCCCAAGATGCACCCAAGATGGCCCAATAGTGCCCCAAGATAGCCTAAGACGGCCCGACTGGTTGCTTGCTTTTCTCGGGCTCTGACCACCACAGGGCGAGCAACGGTTCTCCGAAGACCACAACAACTAGATGAGCATCAGTTTTCGGAGCCCTGCGCGGATCGGCGCTGGAACCCCCTGGCGGCGAGTCCGCGCGCCAGGGGAACGGGGGTCCAGCGCCGACCCAACAAGTTCGCGCGGACCTCCAACCCTTTATAGTTGTCTTGGCATCGCTCGGACTTGTGAATTTCTTTTTCGGCTAGGACCATCGAGGAGCATCCTTGATCATTTGTCGAACAAACCACGCACGAAACCGAAAAAAAACACAGGGAATGGACGTCCGAGCGATGGCGAGTTGTGTGGTTTTTTTCAGGGGCAACGATAAGGGGGGATAGGCATAGGGGGGGAGGATCGACCCCGAATCCCCCACTGATCGCCGAGACGGGTCTGCTAGCCCCACCCCGCCCGGAAGCGTGCGGCTCCGTCATCGGGGGCCCCTCGCCGACCTCCTCGGCGGTGCATCGCCGCTCCCAGGTCGGCGCCTCCCCCCTTGCCGTCGTGGCCTCTCACGCCTCTCGCTGCTCGACGCTTGCCGCTCCTCTCCGGCCGCCTCCTGCTGGCGCTGCCCCTCGGGGCGGGAGGCCTTGCCCCGCCGCCCGAAGGCGCAGAGGGCGCGCCATCGCGCGCGCACGCGCGCGCCGCCCCGCCGGCGGCAGGTCCTGGGCTACCACCTGTGGACCCGGAGCCACCGGCCCGTGTTCCGCGAGCACGCCGGGGAGGAGCGGGCCCGCCTCCTTTCTCGTAGCCACGCGGCGAGGGCCAGGGGCGGACGGGTCGACCCCCGGCAGGCCATCATCCTCTGCCGTGACGCCCCTCCTCCTCCTCCTCCTCCTCCTCTTCCCTCCTCCTCCTCCTCTCCTCCTCCTCCTCCCCTCCTCCCTCCTCCTCCCCCCCCTCCCTCCCTCCCTCCTCCCTCCTCCCTCCTCCTCCCTCCTCCTCTCTCCTCCTTCTCCTCCTCCTCCTCCTCCTCCTCCTCCTCCTCGCCTCGCCCCTAAGACGTATGTGTGCGGCTGGAGGGAAGCGTTGGAGGCGATGGCGGCGCCACGGAAGGGGACCTCTTGCGAGGGGCCGGTCAGGCCGCGCTTGAGGAAAGAGGGGGGGAGGGAAGTCTTGTGAGAACCGCCCGTGCTCCTTAATTAAGCACCCCTGCTTCTCAGAAGGTGAGGGCCATTCTCTGCAGGTGTAGAGCGCCTTCTGATGAGAAGCAGCCTGATTCTAAGCAGCCCTCCCCCCTCCCTACCCCTGGGTGCGCGCCGCCAAGTTTCGGGCGGGGGATGCAGAGTCTGGCAAGGCTTCGGGCTGCGCACAGGCAGGTGGCCACTCGCCCCATCAAGCCCCCCCGAGTAGCCCGCTCCGGTCTCCCAACGCCCTGGCGCCGCCTCCGGCGCGCCCTTGGGGTGCTCCGCGCCCCAGGGTTGAGGTGTTGAGACCGCCCCAGGCTTCACTCGGGGGGGGGGCCTGTTTCAGGAGGGGAAAAAACACACAGACACAATTCTTCACGCTTCGCGTATCCCCACCAGCCCATCTCAAAACAGCAACTCTAGCGAAGCATGCCGACAGTCGTGTTTTTCAGGCGTGTTTCCGCCTGCCCCCGCATATCTCCCCTGTTCCTCCTTCCTCCCGCCTCCTTGTACATCCTCCTTGTGGTGGGAGCGGGAGAAGGACGAGGCGGAGGAGGAGGGAGAGAAAGCGCTCCTCGTGGTTTGAGTCGTTTGGGGTTTCTCGTCCTGGTGTGAGTCGTTCGGGCCCTTCTTCCTGGTGTGAGTCGTTCGGGCTCTTCGTGGTGTGAGTCGTTCGGGCTCTTCGTCCTGGTGTGAGTCGTTCGGGCTTCTCGTGGTGTGAGTTGTTCGGGCCCCTCGTCCTGGTGTGAGTCGTTCGGGCCCCTCCTCCTGCCCGTCCAGAAACGACGCCCAGGCGAGTAGAGGGTCGTCCTGATGGGCTTTTCGGCGTCTTGGGTGCCTCGGGGGGGCCTCTTTGGGCCGTTTGGGATCCTCTTGGGGGCCTCCTGGGGGCCTCTTGGGGCCATCTTGGGGCCTCTTGGTGCCTCCTGGGCGCTTCTTGGGGCCATCTTGGAGGAAATCGATCAAAGAAGAGGGGAGCTTTAATTAGCGCTGCCCCCTCAGAAGGCCAAAATGGGGCCAAAACCTTAGTAAAATCAATGATTTTGGCTTGAAAGAAGGGGGAGCTTTAATTAGCGCTGCCCCCTCAGAAGGCCAAAATGGGGCCAAAACCGTAGTAAAATCAATGATGTTGGCTTCAAAGAAGAGGGGAGCATTTTTCTCCCCCCCCCCGTCGGGGCCAGAATCCTCGTGAGGGGTGTCGTTTTTTAGCCCTCCCAGGAGTCGAAAAAGACCCCTCCGGCCACCCGCGGAGGGACCTCTCCAGGCCCAGGGGGAGGGGGTAGGGGGAGGGGTAAACCCCTCCCCGAAGGGGAAGAAGGGGGGTTGAGAACAGAGAGAGCTCGCTAAACCACTCACGCCCAAAGGGCTGGTGGGATTAATCGTCGATTCCCTAGGAAAATATAGGAAAATATGGGAAGTGGGGGGGAAGACAGAAACCCAGAAAATATGAGAAAATATGGGGAATCCTATTATTTATGTGTATTTATTCATTGGCTGACGCCGCACCGCCGACCCCTTTGGGGCGGCAGCAATCGTGAAAAAAACGAGGCTTACGGAAATAATTATGAGGACTCTTGGGGTTTCCGCTTCTTCGGATTTCGTCGGGGGCGGTTGGCGGATCGACGCTCTGCTTTTTGGCTTCTCTGCGTTCTCCTGGCAACATTTTTGGGGACTCTTGGGGGCCGTTTGGAGGCCTCTAGGAGCGTCTTTTGGGCCTTTCAGGGGCTTCGTGGGAGCCTCTTGGGGGCCGATTGGCGTTTCTTCCCGTTTTTTCGGGGCCGAGTGCTCGAGATGTTCATTCGGGTTCGCCCTCTGGGCCTCCTCTTGGGGGTCGTTTTGGGGACTTCTGGGGCCGTCGATAGGGGCCCTCTTGGGCCGTCTTGGTGCCCTTTGGGGGGCCTCTTGGGCTGTCCTGGGTCGATCTTATTGGTTTTCTGGGCCGTTGTGGGCCTCGTGAAAGCCCAAGGGGCGACAGTGCTACAAAAATTTGCTCCCCCAGGGGAGTGGAACGATTTGTGCTTCGGGAGGGCCTCTTGGGACGCCTCTGGCGCCGTTGACCGTTGTGGGAGCCTCTGGCGCCGTCGTCGTGAGAATCCTCTCGGGGGCCTGCGGGAGGCAGTTTGGAGGCTTCTGGGGAGCTGTTTTGGGGCAGCTTGGGGCTTTTTTTGGGCTTGTTGGGGGCCTCTTGGGGGCTTCTTGGAGCCTCTTGGAGGCCTCTTGGGGCCTCCTTGGCGCCTTTTGGGGCGGAAGGCTAGAATTTTAGGTTCGTGGTCCCCGTCTGGAGCCTTTCTTGGGCCCCTCTGTGGGCCCTCTTGGACTGTCTGAAGGCCCTCTTGAGCCGTTTTGAGGCGCTCTTGGGCCGTGTTGGGGCCCACTTGGGAGCCTCTCGGGTCGTCTTGATGCCGTCTTGGGGGCTTCTTTCGCCGTCTTGGAGCGTCGGAAGCCCGAAAAAACGCGAAGGCCAAAAACGTTGAAAAAACCAATGGAAATCGACGATTTTGGCCTCTTGGGGCCATCTTGGGAGGCGTCTTGGAAGCTTCTTGGGGCGTCTTGGAGGCATCTGGGGCCATCTGGAGGCCATCTTGACCGTCTTCGAGTGTTTTTTCGGCGACTCGGGGCCCTCTTGGACCGTCTGCAGAGCTTCTTGGGAGCCTCTTCGCTCGTTTGCGGCCCCCCCAGCAGACTCTCTGGAGCGGATGACCCCCCCCGGACCGCGCCGGCGGATCCCGGGGAATCCGGCCGGACCCCCCCCCCCCCCCTCCAAAACGACCGGACCAGGCTCCGGGGGGAGGGGTTTGGGGAGGGGGGAAGCATCTCACACGCCGATGACCCCAAGGGGTCGGCGGATTTGTGTGTCCCAGGACCCCTTCACTGTTGAGGTCGCGCGCGCGGCCCGAAGCCTTGCCAGGTGGGTCGCCTGCGCGTGCCCATCGTTCGTTGAGAGCGAGGCATGGAGGGAGGGAGGGAGGGAGGGAGGGAGGGATGGTGTTCTTGAGCCCTCAGGCCCGCCACTCTACTGCAGGCTCCCTCCTACTTCGAGGATCGAGCGGCTCCCCCTTCATCTGCGGTGCGCGGGCGGGGGCGGCGCGGCTCCTCCCCCCTCCGGCCCTGTTCCCCGCCGCCTCCTGCACCCGGGGGCTTGCTCGGAGATCAGGTGCTCTCGGAGGCCCGCTCGGACTCTCGGCTCCTCGGCCCCTCGGCTCTCCTGCCCGTTTCCTGCCCCTTGCCTGGCCCGCTTAGTCCTTGTCGGCCCGCCCCGTGGTCCGAAATGAGAGCTGCGGTGGCCCGCACTGCCACGCTGGCGAATCGCCGGGCGCGGGACGAAGACTCGCACGATTGCAGGTCCCGCCGCGTGCAGCCTGGTTTCGGCCCCGCCGGCGGATTCTTTCCTCGATGCGATGGTGTCCCCCGGCGCTTTGGGGCGCCAGGGTAGCGAGCTGCGTAAGCTGATTCGGTAACAACCCCATCACTGCCCTTCCCCCCCCTGTTCGTCCGACCTGAGATTTCTTTGGTCAGCCGTCGTCCCCACTTGCCACACCCCTGGGTGGCGCATCCAGAGCCGCCCCTTGCGCGCTCTTTTCGGGGGGAGGGGGGTGCGTGGGGAGGGGGGTCTAGCCCGACCAAGGGACGTTTATTCCATGTGCTATTCTCTCAGCACTCTATCCCGAGGGCGCCGAAAACAAAGCCTGTATTGATTACTGAGTTGTTTTTTTCACAGTGTGGTCATGTTAGGCCACTTAGCCTCTTGCGGTTGATTGAGCACCGTTCCTCATAAAACAGTTGAGCCATATGAGGCGGGGGGGGGTCCAATTTGCTTCCCCCTACTGTCTGTTTTCACCCTTGTTTCCCCTCCCACTCCTGGGCTCTGTACTTGGATTCCCCTGTTATGTTCCCGGTGCCGATGGGAAAACAAAAACGCCGCGGTTGACGTCATGCAACGGTGAAGCAAAACAGGATATGCTTAGTCACGGCAATCGGAGAGGAGGAGGAGGAGGAGGAGGAGGAGGAGGAGGAGGAGGAGGAGGAGGAGGAGGAGGAGGAGGAGGAGGAGGAGGAGGAGGAGGAGGAGGAGGAGGAGGAGGAGGAGGAGGAGGGAGGGGGAGGAGGAGGAGGAGGAGGAGGAGGAGGAACAAGAGGATGATGATGATGATGATGATGATGATGATGATGATGATATGATGATGATGATGATGATGATGATGATGATGATGATGATGATGATGATGATGATGATGATGATGATGATGATGATCATGATGATGATGATGATGGATGATGATGATGATGATGATGATGATGATGAGATGATGAGGATGAGGATGAGGATGAGGATGATGAGGATGAGGTGGAGGATGAGGAGGAGGAGGAGGAGGAGGAGGAGGAGGAGAAGGAAGAGGAGGAGGAGAAGAGGAGGGAAGAGAGGAGAGGCTGGGAGAGGTGTTCTGCTAACCCTGCAACTCGTTCCTTCCCCTCCTCCTACTCCTCCTCTCCTTTTCCTCCATCTCTCCTCCTCCTCCTCCTCCTCCTCTTCCTCCTCCTCCTCTCTTGCTCCTCCTCGTCCTCGTCCTTGTCGTCCTCCTCTCATCCTTGTCCTCGTCTCGTCCTCCTCCTCCGCCTCCTCCTCCTTTCTCTACTCCCTCCTTATCCTCCTCCTCCTCCTCGTCCTCCTCCTCCTTCTCCTCCTCCTCCTCCTCGTCCTCCTCCTCCTCCTTCTCCTCCTTCTCGTCCTCCTCCTCCTCCTCTCCTCATCCTTCCAGGGGCCCGCCGCTTCCTCACGTGTGAATGTGGCGTGTGCGCAACCGTTGCGGCACGCGAGAGGCGCGCAGCAGCGCGCCTCCTGCCTGATCTTGCGCCAGGGCAGCCCACCGATCGGAGTAGGGTCGATTTCCTCGAACCGAGTCTAAACCAAGCCAAATCCTCATTTTCCACCTCCTCCCCTCCTCCCCACTCCCCCTTCTCCCCCTTCTCCTCCCCCTCCTTCCCCTCCTTCCCCTTCTCCTCCCCCTCCTCCTCCCCCTCCTTCCCCTCCTCCCCCTCCTCCTCCCTCTCCCTCCCGTCCTTCCCGTCCTTCCACTGTTCCCCTCCTCCTCCTCCCCCTCCTCCTCCCTCTCCTTCCCGTCCTTCCACACTTCCCCTCCAAACCAAACCAAATCCGTCTCCCCCTCCTCCTCCTCCTTCTCCCCATCCTTTCCCTTCTTCCTCTCCTCCTCTCTCTCTCTCTCTCGCAACCGCTGGCGCGTCATCCAAACGTCCCAGCTCCGCCATGTGGCCCCAGGTCGCGATGGCTACACGGATACCGCCATTTCTGGAGGGGGGGGGGGGAAGACGAGGAAGGCTACCCACAAAAACGAGTACCACTTGAGGCCTCGGAGGGGGAGGAGGGGGGTTGGGTAGCGCGGCGGGTCTCCTCCTCCTCCTCCTTTCCCTTCCCTTCCAAATCCTTCTCCACCTCCTCCTCCTCCTCCTCCTCCTCCTCCTCCTCCTCCTCAGCGTACCTCCTCCCTCTTTCCTCAGGCTCCTCCCTCCACTCAGGTCCAAACTAAGCCGAATCCTCCTCCCCCTTCTTCCCCTCCCCCATCTTCTCCTCCTCCCTTCCTACCTCCCTCCCTCTCTCCCTCCTCCTCCTCCTCCTCCTCCTCCTCCTCCTCCTCCTCCTCCTCCTCCTCCTCATCCTCATCCTCATCCTCATCCTCATCCTCATCCTCATCCTCATCCTCATCCTCATCCTCTCCCTCCCTCCTTCCTCCTTCTTCCCCTTCCCCCCTCCCTCCCCCCTCATCCTGCAGCGCGCGGCAGGAGCGGCGGCGGCGCGAGGCGTCCTCGCAGGCCCGCGCGCGACGGCTCCTCGCGGAGGCGTGGGCGCGCCCCCCGCCGCCGCGCGCCGGAGGGGCGCCGGCAGGGAGGCAGCCGTTCGGACCGCCCATCTGGAGAACCGAAGTTCAGAGGGCGTTAGGCGTGAGGCGAGCGCGCGGTCCCGCCGGGAGAGGGGCCCTTTGAGGGCCTGCGCGGGGGGGGCGAGGCCCTCAGTGCTTGTAGTCCTTGTTTGTCGAGGCCGGGGTGCTGAGTTATGAACTGGTGGACGCCGGAGGTCAAGTGGTGCAGGTGGAAGTGGAGAGTCGGAAGCAGGATGCTGGAGTCGGAGTGCTGGGTGGTCGGCCTGGAGGGTGGAGGTCGAAGTTCAGAGGGGGGAAAGGTGGGGCAGGTTCGTGTCGTGTCGACCGGCGACCACCCCGCCTCTGGCGTTCGACTGTGAACGCCGCGGGCGACCCAGAATCGTACGGTGCGGGACGATTTGGACGTTCCGGGGATGCCCGATCGTTCAAGGTTGAACGACCCCGCGGTGTCAGGAACCAACGCCCGGGTCGACACGAGACGAGCCCACGGTGCCCATACCCAGGGGAACGAAGAATGGCATAAGCATAAAATTTCAGAGGTCGGCGCGGATCTTTCGGATCCGCGCTGGACCCCCCCTGGCGGCGCCTCCAGCGCCGCCCCTGGCGCGCGAGGGGGGTCCAGCGCGGATCCGAGAGATCCTCGCGGCCCTCCGAGTTTTTCTGTGTTTGGCAGTCTTCGTTCCCCTTACTGCCGCTGCCCTTCCCTCGTTCTCGCTCGCTGCTTCGGGCCTCTTGAAAGGCCCCTCGATGCCCCCGCTGGACTCGCCTCGAGAGTCTGGTTGTGCGGTGAATCACCACAAGCCTGTCGTTGGGCGGTTAATTCCCACATACTTGAGCGTGTCGTTGGGGCACAACGGCAAATCGTCATACTGTAGTCCCTTACACTCGACAGAGTCGTAATTGCAGCCGGAGGTTGAGGTGTCCAGAAGCCAGCGTTCGAAAAGCCGAACGCATCCTGGGAGAGGTCCGGGGAGTTGGGTATTGGTACCTTCAGGTTTCTCCAGAAATGGTTAAGGAGAGAACGGGTATGAAGGCTAACAGCAGTCCATTTGAGCAGGACTCGCTGTCGACACCGCCGCGGACGACGTCCTTTTGAGACGGGCGGCTGTCCAACAGCGGCCGCTGTCGGTTTTGCACAACATTAGCTGTTTGGCATCATACCCATGTTTGTCCGTACTCATTGCGGGCGTGCCAAGTTCAGGGACATTGAGAAGGGGGGGACGACAGATGATCGAGGTTGGAGGTTTCCCGACGCTTTCGTGGGTTCTCGTCGATTTTCCAGCCTCGGGGTGCGTTCCAGCGCCTGCGCCTCGCCGAGAGCGTTCTGGCGGTGCCCGGATCGTCCCGAACGGCCACCGGAGGGATGTCCGAGGCCCGCCCAGTCGTCACGGCAGATTCGGTCGGACGGCAACGGTAGGGCAATACAGTGGGGACACGCACCAAGAAACCATTGCTCGGGGGTGGACAGACCTCCTACCCTGACACGTCGATTAAGGAATTGGCCGTTTTCGGTTTGCGAGGGGGCGTCGCGGCCGTCATTTTTCCGGGTGCAGGTCCGTCGGTTTCGGTCCCAGGCCGTTTTCACTGAGGGGAGGTTTACTAAAGGGAGGTTTGTCCACCGCCGATATGCGCTTCGTCCGGGTACGTTTTGTTCCTTCGCCCCGCGCGCTGCGCGTGACACTCCGCGGCCGTTGGAGGCAGCTGCCGCGCGCAGGGTGCTCTGGGCTCCCCCTCGCGTGCCTCTCGCGCGCGGCTTTTTTTCCGGGCTTGGGTCTCCTGCGAGGGCTTCTCGCGGCCGCGTCCGCACTGCAGTCGAAGGACAAGAACGGCATCAACAGCGCTCGGAGGTCCGCGCGGACTTCTTGGAGATAGGTATTGGGCCCCCTGGGCGGCGCCGCCCCTGGCGCGCGGAGCGCACCAGGGTTGAGTCGGGCACGTCCCTCCACAGGAGGAATATTCAAAAATTGTCACAATAGTCCCAGGACGATTTTTCGACTGTTCGAATTTTTTAAAAATAATTTTTTTTCTTCCAGAATCCGCCTGTACGGGGACATGCCCAACCTAACGCTCGGGAGGGGGGTCCGTCGCCGATCCAAAGCACCTGCGCGGGCCCCAGAGAAGTCCTGCGCTTGCCACCTGTTTGATTTCTAAACTGACGTGGGGGGATGGAACATTGCAGGAAAGTGGCCCCAGAGGGGCCCAGAGGAGGAGGAGCAGGAGGAGGAGCAGGAGGAGGAGGAGGAGGAGGAGGAGGAGGAGGCAGAGTGAGGAGGAGGAGTGAGGAGGAGGAGGAGAAGGAGGAGGAGGAGGAGGAGGAGGAACGTGCAGAGGACCGTCGTCGTCGTGTTCAGTATTCGTGATTGCTCGTGGAGGTTGTTGTCGCCACGGCTGGGCGTGGCCCGGAAAACTGGCCAGGATGGGCCGCGGGGGGTGGCGCCTGGGGGCCGGTTTGTGGAACGGCAGGCGAGGAGGGGGGGAGGCCGAGTGCAGACGCAGAGCAGGGCAGGGGCCAGAAGGTGCCGCTGGCCAGGCGGGGAGCAGCAGGGTCGAGCGAGCAGCGAGGCGACGGCTGGCAGCCCAAGAGCGACGATGCCAATCTTTGTTCGTTTGTCGGAGGCTCCGAGGCCCCTCTCCGGGGGTGTCTGGAAGCCACTCGGGAGCCTCTCTGGGGTCCTCTGGGGGCCGCGCGTGGCCGCAGTGCGGCCCCAGGGTCGATGCACGACATGCAGTCAGGGCGCAAAGTAAGCAGGAGCAATTTTCCAGGGTCAACCCTTGCAGCAAGTCGGGCACGTCCCTCCTACGGCATGGTGATCGGGGGAAGGGAGCTTGACGGAGCAGTTGATCAGTGATTGTTGTTGGGTTCGGCCGCTCGTGGTTGCTTGCGTGTGCCTTCTTGCAGCGATCCCCCCCCCTGTGGAGGCCGTCGCTGATTCGGCAGACCGCTACGGCCTGGGGTCCGCCCGCTCACTGGGAGACTACGAGGCGCTCAGTGGCATGAATATGCGGAAGGATCGACAGGCAATGTGCGTGCGTGCGCGTGTGCAAGCTGATCTTCGGAAGCGCGTCTGCCCGATGTAACCGTTTCACGAATTGTGTGCACAGCGTCCCGAATCTTGCCCGTCGGCGTGCCGGAGCGCATGCTTGCTTTGCGTGGATTCCACCTGCGGCAGCAGTCCGATCCGTAATGATCCTGCTTGCGCGCTGAGCAAACGGGCAGATGGTGGGTGCGTCGTGTTGTCTGCACGAGCTGCCTGGAGGCGAGATAAGCTGGGGCGGGCCTCGGGTGAGCGGAACCAGTTTGGGGTACACTATTGCAATGCGGCTGGGTTCTCGTCTTCGGACCCGTTGGGGCCGCCTGCGATCCGATGCGATGCGGTTCGATCCGGGCTGAGGCTGCAGTTCCGATTCGATTCGATTCGAGGCGGCGGCCTCGGCCAGAGCCTGCGGAGCCTGGGACACGGCTTGCCGGCGATCCGGTCCGTTCCCGATCCGACCCAGTTTCCCGAGTCGGTCAAGGTAAGTTTTGCTCTCGTTCGCTCGTCACCCTTTCGTCGTTCGCTCGTTCGCCCGTCGCTCGTTCGCTCGTTCGCTCGCTTCAGTCGCTCGTCGTTCGCTCGTCGCTCGTTCGTGCGGCCCCGGGTCCCACCCCGCTGGGGAGCCCGTCGCTCCGGCCTCGGGGTCTCGTCTCCCGCGGGCGCGCGGCCCTGGCCACCTACAGGGGACCTGTCCCACACAGGAGGGGGAAACACACAGACACAACTAACCGTCGATTCCCCAGAGAACCTGGGAAAATATGGAAAGGTGGGGGGGGGGGAAGACAAGGACCCAGAACATCTTGGAAAACATTTTGGGAATCCCATTCTTTGTGCCTATGTACTTGTGTGTCCCTGGGCCCCTACACTTCATCCCCTGGCGAAGACGGGCGTGACTGGGCAGCGGGGGGGAGAGAAGGGGGGAGGGGGCTGGCCGCGTCACGGCTCGCGCCCGCGCCGTCTCCCCTTCCTGCCTGTTCGTCGTCTGCTCGTCCGTCGCCCAGCGCCCTCCTCCCCCCCGCATGTGAGTCGGCGGCGGGCGAGGGGAGGAAGTGAGAAGGGGAAGGCCTTCTCAGAAGGCGGCGGGACTTCGCAGAAGCCCTCGTGCCTGCTGAGAAGTTTGTGTTGTCTTCGGCGAAGACTCAAGAACACTTCTCAGAAGGCTGAAGAACTTCCGAGCCTTCTGAGAAGGCCCGCCCCGTCTCATTTCCCCCCGGGCGCGCCGCCTAGTGAGACTTGTGTTCGCGTCAGGTTTCTCAAAAGGTTGCGGTCTGGTGCAAAACAGCACGGGGTGTTTCTATCTGATTCCAGGTATCCACGCCCAGCAGGGGGCATCGAAGCGTTCTAAGAACTACGCATCCGAGGTTGGTAGTACTGGTGCCTTAAACAACGAGCTACCAACCCGTCAAGTGCGCAAGATGACCATGCGTGTTACGGGGTTGGCGTCTATCGTACCAAGAGTTCGTCTGGGTCAGGCGTGTAACGTAGGGTTGGGAGCTCAGGACTATCAGTACGCAGCTAAGGTGATGTTGCCTGGCTGCAATGCAGAGAAGGCGTAAACAAGTTTCGGGACAGTGGAACTTGAATTCTTTACGCTTCGCGTATCCCCACCAGCCCATCTCACAGCAGCAGCTCTCGCGGAGCATGTCGACAGTTGTGTTTTTCAGGCGTGTGTCCGCTGGGCTCCGTATATCTCCCCTGTCCCTCCTTCCTCCCGCCTCCTTGTGAATCCTCCTTGTGGGGGGAGCGGGAGAAGGACGAGGCGGAGGAGGAGGGAGAGAAAGCGCTCCTCGTGATTTGAGTCGTTTGGGGTTTCTCGTCCTGGTGTGAGTCGTTCGGGCCCTTCTTCCTGGTGTGAGTCGTTCGGGCTCTTCGTGGTGTGAGTCGTTCGGGCTCTTCGTCCTGGTGTGAGTCGTTCGGGCTTCTCGTGGTGTGAGTTGTTCGGGCCCCTCATCCTGGTGTGAGTCGTTCGGGCCCCTCCTCCTGGTGTGACTCGTTCGGGCTCCTCGTGGTGTGAGTCGTTCGGGGCCCGCGTCGTGGTGTGAGTCGTTCGGGCTCCTCGTGGTGTGAGTCGTTCGGGCGCCTCGTCCTGGTGTGAGTCGTTCGGGCCCCTCCTTGTGGTGTGAGTCGTTCGGGCTCTTCGTGGTGTGAGTCGTTCGGGCCCCTCGTCCTGGTGTGAGTCGTTCGGGCTCCTCCTGGGGCCTCTTGGGGGCCTCTTGGAGGCCTCTTGGGGCCTCTTGGGGGGCCTCTTGGGGGCCTCTTGGGAGCCTCTTGGGGGCTCTGGGGCTCGTGGGGGCCTCTTGGGGGCCTCTTGGGGGCCTCTTGGGGGCCTCTTGGTGGCCTCTTGGAGGCCTCTTGGGAGCCTCCTGGGGGCATCTTGGGGCCTCTTGGGGGCCTCGTGCGACCTCCTCAGAAGCGCAAATGAGCGCTACCCCCTGAGAAGGACAAAATGAGCCAAACACCCGCGTAAAATGAATGATTCTGCTAGGAAGGAAGATGAGCGCGGCCCCCTCGGGAGGCCAAAATGGGGCCAAAACCTTCGTAAACGCAAGGATTTTGGCTTCACAGAAGAAGAGGGGGCTACAAGAGCGCCCCCCCGTCGGGGCCAGAATCCTCGTGAGGGTCGTCGTTTTTTGGCCCTCCCAGGCGTCGAAAAAGACCCCCCTGACCACCCGCGGGGCTCCCTGTCCAGGCCCAGTCAGTACGCAGCTAAGGTGATGTTGCCTGGCTGCAATGCAGAGAAGGCGTAAACAAGTTTCGGGACAGTGAAACTTGAACTGACAATGTGATGGGTGATGTGAGGACAGAAGCCATTGAAGTTTCACAAGCAATGTTCCAGAAGCCAGTGAGGTTTTGAACATATACCGCATAATCGAGTCCGCATATAGGGCCCACTGCCCACGCCAGGCGCAGCTCTGCTACTCCGCTGTGCTCTTTTGAAACGTGGTCATCCGCAGCTGTATCCGAATAGCTATCGAACAACCCTCGCGGCCGCCATTGGCATCAGCCTTGTACTTGCCAGCCCGCACATTCCGACAACAGGTGAATCATATACATATAATGGCGCACCGGGTCCGGGGGCCTGGGGCCGGGACCCCGACCACAAATGTGGGCCCCGGGGGGCCCGGAGGCTCGTCGGACCGCCGGACGCCGTGCAAGATCGTTCGCAGGCGGCTTCGGAACGCGCTCCGATGGCTCCAGATGCCTTCCAAGACGCCTGTCATGACACCAAGAAGGTCCCAGAAGCCTCCAAGACGCTCCGAGAGGCAGCCCAAGAGAGGCCCAAGAAGCAAAAATCGTGCCATTCCTATGGGAAAACGTATATTTTTCGCATGTTCGCCTCTTGGGCTTTCACCGCGTCCAAGACGGCCCAAGAGGCGCCCAAGACCGCCCCAAGACGGCCCAAGAAGCTTCCAAGAGGGCCCCAGGACAGCCCAAGAGGGCCCCAAGACGGCCCAAGAGGCGCCCAAGATGGCCCAAGAGGGCCCCAAGACGGGCCCAAGAGGGGGCCCAGAGGGGGACCACGAACCGCAAGCTCGAGCCTTCCGCCCCAAGAGGCCGCCAGGAGGCCCCAAGGAGGCCCCTCAAGAGGCCCCAGGAGACCCCCAAGAGGCCCAAAGGAGGCCCCGAGAAGCCCCAAATCGGCCCCCAAAATGCTTCGAACCTGCTTCCAGGAGGCCCCCGACAGGTTCAGAGGCTCCCGAGAAGCTACGTCAAACTCCCAGCGAGCGGCCGGACGAGGCCCCCCACAAAATCACAAGAGGGTTCCAGTATTTGTATCCTTCAGCGCTCTCTGGCCTTCTTCCCCCTGCCCCCTTCCCTGCGACTTTCGTTGACTCAAGCTCGCGTCCTAGCTAGAACCTAAGCGCGCGCGAAGCGCGCGCGTGGTTCTAGTATATATATATATATATATATATACAAATATGTGTGTGTGCGTCGTTCTAGATGCACATGTGTACATATCTATGTATATACACACCAATGTATCGAAACAGTCGTCGCCGCTGACGAATGTGGAGAAGAGGCCACTGGCATATAATGTATGTATACACTTATATGTATACGTATCAGAGTGAGGGGGGCGAACGGTCATTCACTGTCCCTGGGCGCGTGGCTGAAGTGAGATTCTGCGGTGGGGATCGTTGTTGTTGTGGTCGTCGTTGTTGTTGCTGTTGGTGGTGGTGGTGTTGTGGTGTTTGTTGTTGTTGCTGCTGTTGTTGTTGTTGCTGTTGTCGTTGAGTTCTCATTTCTGACGAATAATTGTTGTTGATCCCCCCTCTCAGGTAACCGTTGCATTCTTTGAACTGAAGTGCTTCTCCCAGGGCTCGCACGATGTTTTCTTCAAGGGGAAGCGAGGCCGGTTTACACCAACAACGTCTCCCGTGTGATATTTCCTCACAGTGTATTGCCTAAACGTTCTCTCGCGCGGGTTTCCTTACAACTTATGAAGAAATCGCGCTCTCGCGTGGGACTTCCTCGCAATTGATTCAGACGCCGCGGACTCGACACTCAGGAATTGTGCTCTTGCGTTGGCCTATCTCACGAATTACTTGGGAATCGCGCTATCGCTTGAGATTTCCTCGCGATTCATGCAGGACGCACGCTTCAGCAACCCGCCTGCTCGACCTGGCTGCCTGGGCCCGCCTTCCTTCGGGACCCACGCATGTACATCACCACCGCGGGCTGGTTTTCTGTCATGGGGGTTGATCGGACTATTGTTTCGGCGGTTGGTTGCAGGGTGCGTCAACTGTCGCGGTAATTACATGTCGCGTGTGCAGCATCATGTGGACACGCGGTTGCATCTGTCAAACACAACACATTCACGTGGTGTATATTTCGGGGCTTTGTATAAGATTCCCGGGAACCCCCATCGTTTTTATACACCACCACCGTGCTGCCACAAGGTGCTGGGGAGCAAGTATTCGC